TAAAAAAGGGAGAAAGTCCAAAGGAGAAGGTTAGAGAGAAGGTTTGCTAGCATTCCCCTATATAGATATAGAGAGAGAGAGAGAGAATTGTTTTTAGGGAGATTCACTATTATACTTAATATAGGAGTCCAAATTATTAAAAAAAACCTATATGAAATGGACTTTATAAACACACCAAAAACCCATTTACAACACAACAAAAAGGCTTTTAATTTTTTTTAAATTACAAAACTGACACTGATTTCTTAAAACAAACTCAAACCCAATACCTCATAAAAAAGCCCAAAACACTCAATAGAGCCTCAAAGTAATTTAATAATCAAAATTCAATTCAATAAGGTCAACTGTTATTTTTTGAGTTTTTTTTAGTTTGTGTATAGAAATTAAATGGTGTAAGGTTTATTTATAATTTTAATGTTAAGAACGGGTATTTGACTAAATATCTCCTGTTTTTATGAGATTTTAACTAACAGATTTGAAGAGAAATTGGCACGCGGTGAAGCTTACGTTGGTTTTTTCAAAGGACAATGCTTAGCTCCTGATGTATCAGGAGCCATTCCTCCTCCATACAAGATGTGGCCTTCTTAAAAAATGACACCTGTTTTTTTTTTTTCCCTTCTTTCACAGACTCTCTTTCTCTCTTCTCACCCACTCACCTCTCCTCTCCTCCCGTGCTCTCTCTTCTCTCCATCTCTTTCTTCCACCATTCCCAAAATTTCCAAAACTCCCAAATAAATAACTCAATAAAATTAAAAAGGAGAGAAATCAATACATAGTGTTTGGGTGATGATGATGGAGGAGCAGCGATGGGAAGAGAAAGGGGCTGAAAATTTCTTCTAAAGAGTTGCAGGGGAAGAGACAGAGATGGGGAGAAGAGAGAAGAGAGAGCTGGGGGAGGAGAGGAGAGTGGGTGAGAAGAGAGAGGGAGGGTCAGTGGAAAAAAGAGATAAATAAATAATAAATAAATAAAAGCAGACGTCATTTTTTAAGAGGCCACATTTTGTATGGAGGAGGAATGGATCCTGATATTTCATGAGCCAAGCATTGTCCTTTTTGGACAGCAAAGGCTCAAAGGCTCTCTCTCTCTCTCTCTTTCTCAAAAATAGAAATAGATGACAAATGCTTCTTCACCATGGCACCCAAGCTACTCTCACCCCTCTTCCCATGGCTCATTCTACTGACCCTCCTGCTCCTCTTTATCTACTCTTCACTCCTCCCCTTCCACACCCCCTCTCCACCATCCCCACAACCCAAGAAAATCCCCACTTTACCTTCCTGCAATCTCTTCAATGGCCATTGGGTCCAAGACCCCAACCGCAGACCCATGTACGATGAGACCTGCCCATTTCACAGAAACGCCTGGAACTGCTTGAGGAACAAGAGGGATAATATGGGTACCATCAATTCTTGGAAATGGGTCCCTCAAGATTGCGTTTTGCATCGGATCGACCCGGTTCGATTTATGGGTCTGATGAGGAACAGGAATATAGGGTTTGTCGGCGACTCTCTGAATGAGAACTTTTTGGTGTCGTTTTTGTGCATTCTGAGAGTGGCTGATTTGGGTGCTAAGAAGTGGAAGAGGAAGGGGGCTTGGAGAGGAGCTTATTTTCCTAAGTTCAATGTTACAGTGGGGTATCATCGGGCAGTGTTGCTCGCCAAATATGAGTAAGATTGTTAGTTTTTTATGCAATTCTTTCATGGGATTGTTTTGCTTCTGCTACCTAGTTTGATTTATAAGTATGCATTGATGATTACTGTAATCTAATGAGAAGAATAAATGTTGTTATGTGCTACCATTACGTATATTGTTACAAAAAACGAACAAAGTGCAAAAAAATATGAACCGTATAAGTTAAATCAAGCATCTTTGGGCATACAAATGATTTAAGGTTGTTCAAAGACAGATTGGTACTGACATTGACGAGTTTGGTGGATTTAACCTTAAGCAACTTAATTTTGTATCTGGAGGAAACAGATGTTTAGATATTAATGGATATACATAAGTGAAGTCGTGGGAAAAATTTCAATTCTTTCTTGCTTATAACATTCTGTTTTGGTTTTCCCTGAGGTTTGAGGGGAACCTGTGGCGGTCTTCATGGTTCCCCTCAACTGAAACTCAATCTAGAATCTTGTTAGTTATCTTTATCTGAGTTTCATATTCGTCTGAAAAAAATTCTGAGAATGGAAATCTCACATGCTCATAGCTCATTAAATCAAGGTGGAAGTCGAAACAGCCTGCACGTGGTGACGAAGATGGAGTGAAAGGAATACATCGAGTGGATGTTGATATTCCTGCTGATGATTGGGCCAACATTGCTGATTTTTATGATGTCCTTGTTTTCAATACTGGTCACTGGTAATTATCTTGACCCTTCTCTCCTAATTCACCAAAGATGTTGGTTAATGAACTGATTTATCCAGCGTTTATTTATATTTTGAAAATTTTAAATTCATGCCAATAAGGGTCTTAAATCTAGTTTTACCAACATCATGAATAGTATGGTCCTCTTTCTGTGGTACTGATCAAATGACTTGTTCTATTCCTTATTATTAATGGGATTTTTATTGAAACATGAATGACGGGAAATTCTTTATTGACATAGAGATAATTACACGCACACACACATAGGTTGTGACTGGTTTCTGAAATGAACAGAATAACTTTAAGAAATATTGAAGTCTTCAAAAAGAAAATCAGAAAGCTCCCTCCTAACAATGGATACACTAGCGCTACACTCAAATCTCTTGATCAGTTTGTTTCATTGAGCTGGCACCTCATTAGTTGGTTTGCATACTCTGGCCTCTGTTATCCTTTCATATTTCTGCAGAAAACAGCATGGAATTACTAAAGAATTTGTGCTTAACTAGGTGGAGTTCTGATAAGTTCCCAAAAGAGACTCCTCTCACTTTTTATCGTGCCGGCAAACCAATCTTACCTCCCCTTGACATATTGGATGGATTTAAAGTTGTTCTTGAGAATATGGTCTCTTACATACGAAACAAACTTCCTCAAAAGACACTCAAGTTATGGCGGTTACAATCACCAAGGCATTTCTACGGGGGTGAGTGGAATCAAAATGGCAGTTGCTTGTTCAATAAGCCCCTTGAAGAGCAGCAGGTATGCATTCATGATGGCTTTCCTTCGTTATACCACTTACCATGGTTTCATATATGAGCTACAATATCAGTTTGGTTCGTGTCCACTGTGGAACAAAATTGTAGAACTTTCTTTCAAATTTTATTTATGTGCTCTGGAATATTCATGAATTCATAACCTAACCATGGCTTGAAATTGAAACCAAATCTCGTACTTCATTTTGTTTTTCTCTTTCCTCTAATTTTTGTTTAGACGATATCTTGCCCCCCCTGTTTTCTTGAGAAAATCATATGGTAATACCTCAACAGCTTGACTTGTGGTTTGACCCCAGCAACAATGGACCGAATAAAGAAGAAAGACTGCTGAATCATCTGATTGAAGACACTTTGCAACGAACCGATATTCAATTGCTTAACCTGACTTATCTGAGTGAGTTCAGAGCGGATGCCCACCCAGCAATTTGGTTGGGACAGAAGGATGCCGTCGCAATCTGGGGCCAGGACTGCATGCACTGGTGCTTACCTGGTGTACCAGATACATGGGTTGACATTTTAACAGAGCTGATCCGTATTGGGTTGCAGATAGGATGATGAACACTTGGCAGAACCTATGATCTGAAATTGGATACAAGGATGGCTTTCACATAAGCTGAATTGAGCCGAATCAGCTGATTCTTTTTGTACATGAAGTGGGACAAGATAAAGGTGGGCATTGGGTGCATACAATCACAGCACAAGTCTAACTGGAAAATTTGGCGGCAGCTTATAGATGGAGGAAAGCTGCTGTTTCCTCTCTTTCGTGAAGGAGAGTGGCATGGTACAGTTTGCACTCAAATTGTAACAAAATCAAATCAAGAGAAATTTTTTTTGTAACAAATGAGTAATGTTCTTTCATCACTGTTCTTTAATATTATTTGGGGAGGCTCCTGGATCCATACATCATGGCTTATGGATCCTCTAAGTCAAAAATTGGAATAACCAAGTATGTAGGATTGGTTTTTAATGTATTTAATCGTGACTATGTTGCTTAAAATAGCGTCTCCATTTTCATATTCATATTCTATTTTTTTTAAAGCAATATTTTAATTACTCTAATGTACGAGTAAAAGTATCAAACTCGGGTGCAAGAGAGCGAGTAGACTACTTGCGGTCGAAGTCTAAAGACACTAATAAGAAGGATAGTAATAAAATATTGTTACAAAAGTTGAAATAAGTACTCCACAAATGTGAAGTATACCCTCAGTTTAATGCTTATATGGATTTTAATACAAACAATATTTGTGAAGAGCACACTAGGATAGTAATAAAATATTGTTACAAAAGTTGAAATAAGTACTCCACAAATGTGAAGTATACCCTCAGTTTAATGCTTATATAGATTTTGATACAAACAATATTTGTGAAGAGCACACAGGAACCCTCAGTTTAATGCTTATATGGATTTTAATACAAACAATATTTGTGAAGAGCACACTCTCCGAATGCAAAGAAAGAAATATTGTGAATCACTTTAGCTACAAGCCTGCAATCCCTTGCAGGACTCCGATATGTTAAATGCATTTTGTTAAGAAAGGAAATGTGTTTGTTTCCAGTGATGAACAAAAGAAAAATGCATTTAATCTCAAGTTTTTCTCCTACAAAATCCTGAAGAAATAATGTAAAACATAGACATATTTGTTGTAATTTTTTATCTGAACATAATTTTTCATAATTTCAATGCTAAGAATAATTTTTTATAATTTCAAGTTTACAACTACTCAAATAAACCTTGGGATTGAATAATGGGGTGTTAGCTGGATTGACTCCTTTCCCCTTCCTAACTTTTAAACCAAAAAAAATAACACACTTCTGGATTGGGCTTGATATTATATCACAGGGCCACACCATAAACATTGCCTGTGGGCTAGCTCTCAAAAAATGGACAAAATTTTCTTTAACCTCAGTCTCTCCTTTACTTCCTCCTGAGCCTCTAACCAATCTGAAACAGAAACTAAAATCCTCAAAATGGCACTAAGAATGAATCTCCTTTCCCCAAAAATCCCCAAACAACCTCCAAAATTCCACACCAATTCCTTCCCCTCCTTAACCCATTTCAACACCAGACCCAAAACCCAAATAATAATCCACTGCAACAACAAAAACATCAGTGATGCAGAGCTTGCATCAGATTTGTCAAAGATGAACACCCTTTTCATGCAGAGAGAAGAGGCTATGAAGAAGAGCAGAGAGCTTCTCTTCACAGAGCTGTGCCAATACCTCAATTCAAAATCAGAGGAGGTGAAGAAGAAATGGAGGAAAATGGAGGAGGAGGACAAGTGGGTTTTGGTAAAAGGGTTTGTTTCAGAGTGGGGGGTCAATTTTCACCCATTGTCTGCAAAGTCTGTTAAGGAATTGGTTGAAGAACATCTCCATGAAGAAAACCCACCCGCAAAATCTTCTGCTTCAGCATTTTTTCCTGGTTTGAAGAGAATGATGGGGTTCTCAGAAGACAATTAGATCACTTTTGGTTTGCAATTTGGGTGTCAAATATTAGCGGTTTTGTTGGGATGTGAAATTTGTTGAAATAACAAATTCAGATACTCTAGAGTTTAATCAATTTTTTTGTTATGATGGTCAGGTTTCCAAACATCTCATCATTTGGGATAACAGATGAAAATTTTACTTGAAGCTTGTTGGGGCTGCTTGATCAATTTTCCTGAGAATTTCAGAGTGAAATTTCCTAATAAATCAAAAGAAAAAATAAGAGAACAAAAAAGTGTATTTTCTAAAATCATATGATATGTTCCTCCAAGGCAAAATGTACAAATGTTGGTAGTGGTTGGCCTTGGCAAATTGCAGCTAGATATCCACCCGCTCCCTTTGAGAAAAAGAAAATATGCTAACACTGGTATTTATGCACTCAAGACTACAAGATTATATTGCCTTTAAAGGGAGACATTTTTCTAGGATCTATAATTTGTAACAAGCTTACTGCTACCTGAGTTGTTTTGCTATCAAAGCTCAAATTGTAAATCCATAAAAATTGCATTCTCTTTTGGAACCATGAAACATCCAAATTGGGAAATGCTCATGTTCTAGGCTGCTTCCAACAGATAACCTTTGTGTTACATCACATTCCATGAAATTAACAAATGTTTGTTCAACATTTTATGCAAATTAATGGTACTTCAAGAATCAAACGACGAGTTTGGAAGGAATTTCTATATACAAACTGATATCTCACATGGAGGCAATGTACGGTATCACCATAGATCTTGCAGAGAAAGGCTGATTACAATTCAGAAATATAGCTGGCGGCACTGAGCAGCTGAAGCCTCTGCTGGACAATATGGGCATTTAAATGTTCGTGTGCTGCTCTTGGTCAGCTTCAGGATTGATTGCTTGCAAAGAACATGCAAACATGGCATCAACATCGGCGGATTCTCCTCGCTGCCTTGATCTCTACTCACAGGACAGACAAATATTGAATGGAACTGAAATTCCTTCCCCAACTCCACAGGGACTGGCAATTGTTTCATCGCCTGCCACTCCTGCTTCTTCGCAGCCATTACATTTGCCAACTTCAAGAGAGTTGGCAACCCTTCCAATCCAGCAGCTATTGTCATACTCAACGGGCTATTATAGGACTGCCCCAACAGACTGCAGAACTGCCGTGTAAGATCCTCCATCGACTTCTCCCAATGGGTTGGGGATGTAAACTCAGAATATGGGGAGCTGTCAAGCCTTCCTGGATACAACAGGCAACCCATGAGCTTCAGGACCTCTTCCTTGTGAGGGGAGGCGGGAGAAGCAAAAGGAGCAAGGCAAGTCCTGGCATATTTAAGCGCATCAGCTTGAGTTCCCTTTTTCAAAATCTCCAGAAACTGCAAACTATGAAGTTTAAGCTCGAGATTTGACCCACTCTGATTCAGTTTCTCACGGTTAGCAGAGACCCAGTTCAGAGCAGGCTCAAGGTTCTTAACCTTCATAGCCTCAAGTATCTGATGCATTACCACGAACTGAGATTTTAGAATGGTTGACTCTGGTTCTCCAGCCTCGTCTATTATGCCATCTCCCAGATCAAACGAACCTTGCCGGTAAAAATGATTTGCAATCAGCTGATTCTCAATGTGATGGTCAAAGTCAACATCTCTGTAAGCCTTTGATATGTCTGGATTCAAGGACTTTTCCAGCAATTTAGTGTACCTGCTAAGGTTTCCGTTTAGTTCCTTATGTGAGCCCTCTAACTGGTGGATTGGGCCAATTCCATTGAGCTTGAGTTTAAGCTCTGCAAGGATGGATCTATAATCAACAGGAGAGGTGGGATCATGAGCTGATAGGAGTCGTGTCAGTGCCTGTTCAATTTCGCGACCAACTAGGTCAATTACTTCTTGGGATCTAGAAGAACATAATTTTTGCTTCTTAACAACACGCTCAAATGCATCTTTGATGGTACTTAGCTCCATTTTCTTGTTTGAGCAGCAAGCTTCTGCAAGACCAGGCAATAGTTTCTTGGAGCACAACACCACAAAATAAGCTATGCAAATTAATCTTCTTGAATGTATTTATCAGAAAACTGGAATTTTATGTCTTTTACAACAGAATTCTACTAAAGGCAACCCACAAAAGCTAACAAAGGAAATGGAAAGTTGTGTCATCATCAATGAAGGATATCAACAGATGAGCATAAAGAGGATAATGTACTGAATAGTAAACAAGAAAATGTAGGCGGGCAGAATTCAACATCATAGTAGTCTCATTAGTTATTTGTGATAGTCCTGTACAGATAAAGAAAACAAACCAAAATGCATACGTAAAGGTTTACTGATGTAATATAATGAGGTCAACCTGAGCTTTACCTTGCTCAGCCTTGGGCTCATCTAAAACTTCCCACAGTTAAGTTAGATTCCTACACAGCTCAACCCGAGCTAGCTAGTCATCTTTTACTACAATAATTTGGTATTGCAGATAGAGATATAGGTCCCCAACTCCCTAAGTTTTAAATATTGCAGCCCATAACTCAAAATCAACGAACGCAGATAAACCTCAATTCAAGCCCTTGCATCAATTCCGATATGCATGTAAATTAAAAGATTGAGATTCATATTATTTATAAGGTTAGACTCGTATCTACACTGCAAGCCGATGGAAATCCTCCTTCCTACCACTTAAAGACGACCACAAAATGCCATACATGGCCTACCTTGCCTAAAACCACCTTATGTGGTGAATTTATTCCATTTATGGTGATTATTACTATTTGTTAATCAGTCAACTGAGCATTGGACATGGGTGTACCCCGTGCACAACTGTTGCATCTTCTTGGATGCTCAATTTCCAACAGAAGTGTCCTACGAAAGGAGCACTGTAAAGAGTCAATTATTCAGAATAAAATTGGTTCCAACTAAAGTACAAACATAATAGCTCACTCAATAGTTATATTGGATTTAGGGCGTCATCTTGGCTTGCATGGAATCATACATGCAAAATAAGGCTTCTGAATTTCAATGACTTGAGTACACACATAAACTGTCCCCACATCATCCCTATCATACAAATACCATCCAACATTGCCTCACTTTATTTGATTAGAAATTTCTTGGTTTACGTTGGTGCACAGCAAGTATGAAGGGAAACTTGTAAGGAAAAAAACATGAAAATGATGAATGAAGACTCCACTGCTAAAAGAAGAAGATTCTATGAGCCAGTGCAAAGCAAAGTACCAACTTCAAATACAAGGTAGGTATTCTCCCTAAAGTTCACAAAACCACCAACAAAAACAATTGATAACACAAATGTTTGAAAAATAACGAAGTTGACAATCAAAACATAAAACTCTTTTTAATTATTATTAAAATGAAACACAATTTGGTGGCCGAAATTTTAAAAAAAAATATCTGTAGGGATACCTTTCTTGCTCCTATCTGTCGTCCCTCAAGCACGAAAAGCTGTTCCTGTAATGAAAAATAAACTAACAATAAAAATGCTACCACTCATGGTCATTATAGCATAGACCAAATTTTGTTTATACTCATTAAAAAACCAATTTTGAAATTTCTAAAAACAGTAATAGAATGCCAAGGTCAAATTATACACAGAGCAAATGCCAAGTTACAATCACAACCAAACTGAATTTCACAATTTATGAACTAAGCTAATTTTCAAGAACATTGAATACTGAAACTCATAATATACACACTTAGTGGCCTGAAAAAAAAAAATTTCCACCCTTAATCCTGATAATTAACAACTACCTACTACTAATTTTAGAAAACCCATCCAAACTGAAATTAAAGAGAGCCAAACGAACATCCCTTTGCTCAAATAATTTTCAATTGAATCATTCCATATATAAAATATACGATTTGGCAGCTTAAGTTTACTTTTTCCCCCTTCTTTTTCTCGACAACCAAACAGAATTTACAGAAACTACGAAATTGATATGTCACCAAAAAATCAGTTAAAAGGGAATAAAGATTACCGAAATTGGATCGAAATTGAGGGAGAGAGAAAATCTCGATGAGAAGCTCTGGTTCGTCGTTGGAGGATCCCTGAGAGACAGAGAAGAAGAGGAAGAAGAAGAAGAAGAACGCAAGCGTGCGAGTTTGTGAGAAAAATGTTGGTGGCACACGTGTAATTATCTTGTCGTGCTGAAATTGCCCTTGAGCTTTTTACTCTATTACGTTTCTATCCTTAACATTTTAGGAAATTAGAGGTTGTTGAAAGGGCTTTTGTTATATTTTTGCTCACCACTTTAACCTAAAGTGTATCCTTATCATCATTCTTAACACTTGACACATGTCACTTGGCATAATCATAGTTAACTCTTTATTTTGTATTTATGCAACCATGGTTATGTTAATAAACATGTGTCAAATGTTGAGAAGTATGATGAGGGTACACCTTTGGTTAAAGTGGTGAGCAAAAATGTGTCGTTTTTTACGTGGCATGATATTTACGTGCCACGTAGCATTTTGTTGGACAAAGAGAATCCACTGGTACTTGCGGATGCGGAACATTTACGGTTTACTGAAATTCATGAAAATAAAGCACTACTCCTATTTTAGATAAAACTAGAAAAATTTCCTATCATCTTCTCTAAACGAATTTCACATTTAAATCCTTTCTAAGGAGACCCTAAATGAAGTATGGGTTGACAATTTTTCAGTTTCACTAAAGTTTTTACGATTTTAAATTTTACTGCTCGTGTTTTCATTTGGTACACCAAAACCGAATAGTAAGAATTACTAAGAAATACTCCATAATTAAGGCGTTAAATAATACATTTAACTAGCATCATCAAACCAAATCAATCGGTACTCCCATACTAAAAATAAGGTCACCATCACCACCAACGTTGTAAAGAATAAATATGTGGATCCCATTTATTATTGGTTTGAAGACTTTGGTGCATAATGCTTTCATGCACATTCACGGGAATGGCTTGACATTTCCTATAAAAGGCTTCACTCTTTCGCAATTGCTCCCTGCACCAACCATCAAAGAAGAAAATGAGAGCCCAGGCAGAGAGGAAGGGAGAAAGAAAGGAGAGCGAGAGCATAGAATTCTCCAAAAGAGAAAAATCAGTTAGCCAGAGAGATTGTAAACACTATAGTTGTAGCCCTATTATT